CTAAAGCAAGATTTGAGATTAAAAGATGCCTTACCAATTACAATTGAAAGATCCATCCATCAGGGATGGCCCCTCTCTCCAACCCTTTTTGCAATTTACATAGAATTTCTGGCACATGTAATGACAGAAAACTGATAACAGGGAATATAAAATAGTGTCGGATGGTGAGGATGATTTGCGTTACATAAATTATCTAGATGTCTGCCTGAATATCCATATCTTAGCCTGCAAGATCTTCTTTACACATTCAGTCTATATTAAGGATACAAATTAATATTTGCTTACCATTCATCACCTGAGCTTAACCCTCAGCACTCCAGGGCTCTTTTGGCTATTTTGTCTGTTTTTAATGCTTTTGAATATGTCCTTATATACCATATAACACATTTTACCATGCTATTATTTGATTTATTTTATTTTTTTTACAGTATTTAGATTACAAATGTAAAAGTAATTTAAATCCCCTGATTGTGGAATGCAGTAGCAAGTACATTTCTCCAGTTACATATGGTTTTCTCCAAGTATATTCTTTATTTTAAAACATCAACTGATTAGGAGAGATTGCATCCATCCCACGTTGGATGGAGAAGCTCTCATATCTAGAAATATGACAACCTTTGTTAGACAGTCCATACCTTGACAATCCAGAGTTGAGACCAGGAGGCAGAGAGACAGTCTTACAAGCTTCTCTGTGTGTCTATTTGAGCAGTCACCCTCACAATATACCTCACAATATCCTATAGAAACTGTGTCTGCCCCCTGACCACCTAAATTAATTTAATCAAAAGTGAGGGAGAGTAATACATTCAAACCTAAATGTTAACACAAACCAAAAAACAGAAGTATAAAATGCGGTTTATTAAATATTAGGTCACTTAATCCAAAATACTTACTTATGAATGATCTGATTACTGATCATCAAATTGGTCTATTATGTCTAACTGAAAACTGGCTGCAAAGTGGTGAATATGTAGGTTTAACTGAAGCGACGCGCCCCACCCATACTAATACCCGTATTCCTTGAAGCACGGGCAGAGGTGGAGGGGTTGCAGCAATCTCTAAATCTGACTTATCTATCAACCCTCGAAAGAAAGATAATTATAACTCCTTTGAAAATCTCATAATCAGCCTCATTCATCCAAGCCTGAAATCACATAAACAAATTCATCTAGTTATAATTATATCGTCCGCCTGCCCCTTACTCTGAATTCTCTGAATTTCTATCAGAACTAGTTCTTAGGACAGATAAAATCATTATGGTTGGTGATTTCAACATTCATGTAGATGTTGCCAACGACAGCCTTAGTTCAGCTTTCAAATCAATAATAGACTCGATTGGTTTCACTCAACGTGAATAAAACCACTCACTGTTGAAATCACACTCTTTATCTTGTTCTGACATATGGCATAGACATTGAAAATGTAGTAATATTTCCCCAAAACCCTCTTCTGTCTGACCATTTTTTAATTGCATTTGAATTTAGAATTATTGACTACACTGATTCTGGACAGAAATTCTATTATAGTCGGTGTTTAAACAAACTTAAAGAACTGCTTCCTTCTACACTTACTCACACTCATGTGTCAGTACAATACAGTACAATAAGAAAGTTATCAAAACTTTACTCCCACACTAGTTGATAACTTTGTTAATAGTACAGCAGCCTCATAAAAAAAAAACCCTTGACACTTTCGCCCCGCAAAAAAAAAAGAAGGTAAATCAGAGGAGATTAGCTCCATGGTATAATTCTCAAACACGTGTTTAAACAGACATCACGGAAGCTAGAGAGGAAGTGGTGTTCCACCAATCAATATGACTTTCACCTTGCCTGGAAGGATAACCTGATGAATTACAAGAAAGCACTTAGAAATGCCAGAACCTCTTATTATTCATTATTTATAGAAGAAAATAAGAACAACCCCAGGCTCCTATTCAGCACTGTAGCCAGGCTGACAGAARGTCACACCTGTACTGACCCATCTATCCCTCTAACCCTAAGAAGCAATGATTTCATGAACTTTTTCACAAATAAAATTATAACTGTATAACCACCTCCTCCCCATGAATAGCACAGATACATTGTTCTGTCCTGAAACCATAGACCCACCTGTAGAACCAGATTTATATTTGAACCACCTTCTATTGATCTTCCTGAACTGACCTCACTAGTTTCATCATCCAAACCAACAACTTGTCTAATAGACTCTGTACCAACTGTGATTACTTAGATAGTAATGTTTTGTTGGAAACATTTCAGTCACGATTTATAATCCATCAAAGCAGAAACAGCACTATTAAAAGTTACTAATGACCTTTTCAAGGCATCAGATGATGGACTTGTCTCTATACTCGTCCTGTTGGATTTTAGTGCAGCGTTTGACACCATAGATCATAAGATTCTGTAACAGAGACTGGAACAACATGTAGAGATTAAAGGAACAGCACTAGGCTGGTTTAAATCAGATTTATCAGATAGATTTAAATTGTTCATGTTAACAATGACCCCTCCATGCACATGCAAGTTAGTCATGGAGTCCCATAAGGTTCTGTCCTTGGACCGATACTCTTCACCTTATATATGCTCCCCTTAGGCAACATCATCAGAAAGCACCACATACACTTCCATTGCTACGTACACAACACCCAGCTGTTCATTTCTTTGAAGCCTGGTGAATCTAATCACTTAGTTCAACTTCAGGAATGTTTCAAGAACATCAAGGCCTGGATGACCCAAAACCTCTTACTTCTAAATTCAGACAAAACTGAGGTTGTTGTAATTGGACTTAAACATCTCAGAGAAACACTGTCTGACCAGATGGTCACCTTGGATGGTATAACTCTTGTATAAAAAATTATGAAACTGTAAACAGGAAAATGAAAGAAGATCTTAGGACATGGTCAACATCCCCACTACATTTTTGTTCAATAATAGAAATTGTGAAGTTGTCTATTTTACCTAGACTGTTTATTTGCCACTATTAGTTAAAGCCCTAATCAGACAGGGATGGGATGAACAAATTTCACAATTCATTTGAAATGACTGCAGTGCCCATTGTATACATGCCTGTTTGCTTGGCTTGTGATAATGCTCCGGAGCCTACTTCAGAATGATTCCTTGTCATCAGTGTTGTGGATCAGTGGTCAACTCATTAGTGAAGAAAGCATTCAGGAGCCCTTTGATGTCTTATGCTGAAAAATTTATTGAAGCTTGGCCAAGGAGAAAATCAGAATTCGTCCACACGTCTGTGCATGATGTTCTCTCATATTCTGAAGTCTGCTTTCCAGCAGTCACACTTTAAACCCCAACAGATCATTTAATCTATGGGTGTGCTAGTTCCTAAACAATCAAATGTATTTTCTAATTATGGAAACAGTATTGCCTGCTTACGCAGTTTCATATCTGTGATGTCTAGGGAGTGAAGCCTTTGACCTTTGCCAAGCTCTCACAGTTCCCAAACACAACAGCCCCCCAGAAGGGACAAGAGACAGTGTCTATGAAACAAACAATTAGTAAGCTCTCCTTAGACAGGCCTACAAAGAGGAAGTGATTCTATGAATGTTGTTGCTATGATAGGATGTTGAGACAGACATGTTCAACTTGGTCTGCGGACTGCTCTACAGCACTGGTCGCCTCTTTATTGAATGTTTATTAATATTGAGCACCAAACTCTGCACTGTATTTCCTCTGGCAATTAACAATAGACATGACTAGTGTGAGGTCGATAAGAACAGTTTGTGTGATATGCATGCTACAAAGACAGACAGATGTTTGTTTGGTAGATGGTATTAGTACCAGCACGTTAACAAGAAGTAACAAGGGAGAAGGCATGTCTCTCCCTAATTATAGAGATTATTTCCTTTCTGGCCAGTTAAAAACAATAGTTCACTGGTGTGACAGTGGATATGATGCTTAATGAATGGAAATGGAAAGAGGATGTGGAGGAAACATGATGTGTAATCAACATTCAAAATAGATATGACATGAACATTTTAGCTATTAAAATATGCAATTTGAACTACTATGAAAGAAATTGGGATGCCAAAGAAATGGGGAAGAAAAAGAATTACAAGAATGGTAAAATAAATCAATATCTCACAAAACTAGAATTTCAATAATTAAGATATTTTTCTTATCTAAACCTTTATTTTTATCAACGGTTTTTCCTCCCGCAGACAGAACAATAAAGAAAATCCAAAATCATCAGAAGAACAACTAGAGAAGTTTCAAAGAGGAGACTTATGTACAATGATGAATGAGTAAAATTAGTATTATAAGAGTATTAAAGTGCCAGTGTGTAAGATTTGGATGAAAGGATGAAAATTAAATTGAATGTAAAATAATCCTTGGGATGTTTTCACTAATTTGTTTCATCTAAATTGTATGAATTGTACTTTTCTTAACTCTAGAATGGGGCCTTTATATTTAAATACTTACATCAAGGGGGTCCTCTCTACGGAGGCCGCCATGTTTTTTACAGTTGTTCAAACTCTACAAAGTAGACACCTTCTGAGTTTTTATGACAACTGAAGGCTTCCACAGGTTCTCTGTCATATTTGTAAGGGGAGGGTGAGGTGAGGGGTGTTCAGCTGCAACATGAAACTTCACCACTATATGTTAAAAAAATTCTACACACTGTACCTTTAAAAGAAAAGCAATGTGGATTGGTGAAGTGTTGAGCTTGACCAAAAAGAAAGTATGAGCAATTAATTCCATACCATCTCCAAACTAGTATATAGTAATTTTATTAATGATTTTAAACACCTAAATATCCATATTTTTCTTTATGTATGTTATAGTTCTCTGTGACTAAATTAAATAAAGTCTGAGAGTCTAAAAAGGAAAGCAGATGTGAGGGAATCTCAGTACAAGCAATGATTAGAGATCACAAATTTGCATTAACTTATCAAGACCATATGAATCACGTCATCTAATTTAACCTACACACTTGGTTTAATGCTGTAAAACAATAACATTTTTGGACTGTAATGGAAATTTTGTCATTTGTGGATGTGATATTGCATGAGCAGATGTGTATGTGGAAGACAGACCAAATTGAATCTGAAAAGGCAACGAAATTGCCACCACAGGACACAGTTAACTCAGATGCCCAGCATATGATACAGAATTCAAACCAAATTGGATAATAAATAAGATAAGATAATAAGTAACAAATAACAAAAATACAAGTAAAATAAGGAAGCATGCAATGGTCTAAAAAAATGAATGGAATATAAATAATATATATACAGTGCAAACACAATATATACAGTGTGAGATTCCACAATAGCCATGGCACAGGTAAAAATTGGAACTTAAAATTACTCTAAAATGCATAAATTGGTGTGTGTGGTCTACTGGGAGCATTTCTGGTTGTACACTCTTACTGCTGCAGGAAGGAACGACCTGGTGTGGATAGAAGAGCTAGTGCTGTGATGGCGTCCTGCCAGTGGTGGGACAGGTTGTCAATCAGCTTCGCCATTATTCTTCTCTGTCCCACAACCTCCACTGGGTCAAGGGGGTATCCCAGGACCGCGCTGCACCCCCTTCAGTCTATCCCATCACTTACTGTCAGCAGTTGAAATGCTGAAAACGTGTGAAACAATTTTCTACATATTGTTCTATGTATTGGTGGGAATTTGGGTTGAAAAACCTCATTATTCCTAAAATGAAAACATATACGATTAACAAATCATACATCATGAATCATGAATGATCATGATTATGAATCCTGATGCAGTCAATTTAACTACAATGTCCTGGCTTTGCATGTGGCAGGTGAACTGCGTATGCAGAAATTTTGGGCATTTTTATGTGACCTGTCCGGGTTGTCTGTTCGTCTGTATCTATAAGATAAGAGATTACTTTTATTGTCATGTTGCATGCAGTCCAAACACAATTGAAATGTATCTTGCTCTCCCTCAGATCACACACACACACACACACAACACATGCATTACAGAGGGGGAGCAGGGCAGCCATTATACAGCGGCCATAGAACAGTTGGAGGTTTGGTGCCTTGCTCAGGTGCACCTCGGCAGCTCTGGAGGCGAGCTGGCAGCTCACCAGTTTGCTTACTTGGTCCAGCGGGGGACTCAAGCCGGCGACCCTCCAGTTCCCAGGACGGCTCTCCCAGGACTGCGCCATCGCGCCACCGCTGCCCCCGATCTACATATGTATGTCTCATTCTCGTTAACGTGATAGGTCAAGAATGCCCTGAGGGAATATCTTCCAATTTGGCACAAACATTTTTCACTTGGATTCAAGGATTAACTGATATTTATTTTTATTTGATAGCAGTCATTGGGATTTCGAATTATGTTTACTTCTAGCACAGAACCTAAATGTTTGGATTTAACCCAGGGTGTCTATAATCTTTGTTTCCTGGCTACTGATAGGGGTGCATATGAATATAGAGCTCAGTGACATGATGATTCTTACTGCAATACACCTTTGGAGTTACTTTTAACTTTCCCCCAAAAATGTTTATGTGCACAGGCTTTTGTGCTCAACAAAAGGACAAAAGCATCAATTTATGTACATTGTTACAATTGCAACAAGAAAAAAAGCTCAAATTAACCAGAATAATTTGTTTTTGGTAACATATATTGTGGTTCAATCCCAGGACCAGCATGCAGCCAGATGGGGACAGTGGACTGAATCTGGAAGCCCAGCTGGCACATAAAGAAAGAGAGCAGAAGGAACTTCAAGCTGTAAGGGTTCATCAGCTGGAGAGTTCCCTCAAAAAGGCCCAGGAGGAGTGCTCCACCCTCAGGTATACATCCACCTTATTTCAAAGTAACAGTGAATGTTATATGAATGTCAAGGTACATTTTAAGAATTCCAACAGACCCCAGTCTCCATCATTGACTGATGCCACTCAGAAGGGAATAAATATTGCTGTTTGGTAGGGCTGAATGTCAACATTGTTCGCCTGATGCGATTTCAGTTCCAAAGGTTCATTATCAGTTTATTTGTCTCTGATTCTAGATTCTTCAATTACTTTAGAAAAAAAACAATTTCACATCACAGGACATTGTCTTGAATTTATCCTGGCATCAACTACATGAGCAAACATTTGGGGAAATATAACCCTCAAAGAAACCATAGTGATTGTGCTAATAATGCATATTTTTAAAATGAATTTAGTGTGTGACAGAAACTCAATGTCTGCTCACTAATTTAGTGGCACTGTTTGTGTTGACAAAACATCAATCTTATATCTTCAGACAACTGTTGGCTGGTGCTGATTCCCTGGCAGGAAGTGAATAGAATCAATACACTGTTAAGTCAATTTCTTCTGCTTCACAAATCATAGCCTGAGATATCTGTTCAACAAACACAACACAAACAAGATCAGATCAGTTGAACCAGGGAGAGTTGACTGGCACAACTGAGGTTAGTTGGCCAATAACCCTCCCTGGATTTAAAAGGCAGGATTTGAGCACATGAGAGAAGCTCATGAAGAGAAGAGTGACTGAATAGAGCCCAGCTGCAACACATTTATGTTTGGTTTAATTTATGTTGGTGCTTGTTCACCAAATAAATATGCTGAAAAGTGAATGGTTTCCCTCTGGCTGTTGTTGGGAGACACCGGTGGCAATGTCCTTTGCCACAATCTGTTAATACATTCAAATCAGTTCATTTAAATTGTATTTGTATAGCATCAGATTACAACATACATCATCTCCAGGAACTTTACATAGTAAATTCAAAGCCTTGCAATATTAGAGGAACCCAACAGTTTCTACAATGAGCAAACAATTGGTGACAGTCACATTTCTGTCGGAAAGTTTCAGTCATTTGGTGAAAGAAGGCAGTCCTAGAAATTTGTTGTTAGTAAGAATCAAAGGACAAATCAGGATCAGAGAGTTGTGGTTTAGTTTAATCCGGACCCAAAAGCAGACACAGAGATGGATAGGTTGTGAATGATGAGTTTTTGATCTAGTCTACTAAATCTAGAATTTAGTCTGCTTTGGTAGGCAGATGACAGGCTTGTGGCTGGCTGAGGGTGAGCAGGAGACTCTGTGAGCTGCAGTAAAGACAGGCGAGTTGGCTCTGGCGATCCTGAGACTCAAGGAAAAAATAGGATTAGTTAGATCCACTAGAAGCACACAAAAATACTTTCTCTGAGAGTGTATACCACTGAGGTGACTGACAATCTGGCCACGAGTGGAGAGAAGACCGGGGTTTTTGTACAGCAGTTGATTATGTTGAGATCAGGTGTGTAAAACTCACACCAGGGGTGGGGACTGCGCCCACCAACACACACTCACACATGCACATACAGGGAAGGAGGAGAAAAGGACAACACAGAGAACAGGGAAAATCAATCCTGATAATGTTTCCTAGTGGAAGCATATATAATCAGAAAATAGTGGGCCGTGCACAGAACCCTGAGGAACACTGTGGTTACCTTTGGTGCGCACAGAGGGAGGTTGGATATTGGTCTGTAGTTGGCTAAAACCTCCGGGTCCAGGGTAGTTGTTTTGAGAAAGGGTTTGACTACAGCTACTGTGGTACATATCCTGATGATAATGATAGATTGATTGTATGAGGCAAAGTACTATTAATTAAGGGCAGCATTTCTTTAAGTAACTTGTAGGAATGAGATCTAAGATACAAGTTGTGGGTTTAGATGATTATTGGGGTCAGCTGATCAAGGGTGATCAGAAAGAAGCTGTCTAAGTAATTGGTAGGATTCTCAGCTGTTCCTAAGATTTCTGTGGTTGATGGTGCATTAGTGTCAACTAAGAGCAGGAGATGGTAAATTTCTTTTCTAATAGTTAGAATTTTATCGTTCAGTAAGTTCATAAAGATATTGCTTTTCAAGGAAGGAGGAATACTGGGTTCAATGGAGGTGTGACTCTCTGTCAGACTGGCTACAGTGCTGAAGAGAAACTTGGGGTTGTTTTTATTTTGCTCTATTGATGTGAAGTAGTAGGCAGCTCTTGCTCTGTATACCCTCATACTATCTATCCAGGATAGATGATTTTCAACACAGTTCTTAGAGCGCCACATCCTTTCTAGTTTTCTTGTTGCTTGTTTTAATTCGTGTTGAAATTGTACCATGGAGCTCATTTATTTGTTTTACATGCTTCTTTTTTAGAGGCGCTATGGAGTCTAATGTTATTCGTAGTGAGTTTAAAGAGCTATCAACAAGATGGTCAATCTCAGTGGAGCTAGGGACCATCATTATTGTTGTCAACATTAATAATGTCACCAACTATAATACCTTTATCTCTTTTTAGGACTTTTCAGAATAAGCCCCAGTAGCACGGTTTAACTACAGCAAATATGACCGGCTGTTGTGATTTCTTGGATAGGTGTGGAAGACAAAGAACAAGACTTTCAAATGAGTTATAGCTTAGTTTAGGTTTAGGATGGATAATTGATGGACTGGAGTTAAAAATAGCAGTGTAGAGTCTCGAGGAATGTGTGTACTTATATGATCGGGATGAGTAGATTCATTTAGGCTGACATATTTTTCAGGATGCAGCTAGGTCTCATTGAGGGACAATAAATCAACATTGTGATCTGAGACTAATTCATTAACTAAAACAGCTTTTGGTGACAATGATCTTATGTTTAAGAGTCCACATGTAATTGTCTCGCTTTGTTGCATTGTTGCAAGGGTTTAATTTGTATTTATTTTTTGCATGGAATTATCCCTCTGTTATTGTTTGATTAAAATTATTTTAATGGGACAGGGGGCAGACACAGTCTCTATGGGCATGTGGTTGTGTGACTGATCCAAAGGGAGTGAAGTGTGTAGAACTGCAGCTCTGCGTCCTGGTCCCAATCCTGGGTGGTCATTTTGAACTGAGTTATATTCCTAGATAAGAGAGCTGCTCCGTCCCAAGTGGGATGAATGCTGTCTCTCCTCACGAGAACAGGTTTCCTCCAACACGTTTGCCAATTGTCTACAAAGCCCATACCGTTTGCAGGACACCACCTCAACAGCCAGCGGTTAAATGACAACAAAAAAATAAAATAAAAAAGGTAATGATGTCTGATCTACTGAGCAGGATACATGGCTTTCATAGCACTGCCATACAAGCCAGTAACCAGTCAGATTTACCGTCAGGCTCTTTCAAAGTTATTGTGATTGATAGGCTGAAACACTTGATGACACCAAGATACAATTGAAGATATTATTTTTATTAGAACAACCAGTCCCAAAAAATGT